CCACGTCCCCACCACGTCCCCGGTGCCCTGAGCGTGTCCCCGGCGTGTCCCCACATCCTTGGCACGTCCCCACCACGTCCCCACCACGTCCCCGGTGCCCTGAGCGTGTCCCCGGCGTGTCCCCACATCCTTGGCACGTCCCCACCACGTCCCCACCACGTCCCCGGTGCCCTGAGCGTGTCCCCGGCGTGTCCCCACATCCTTGGCACGTCCCCACCACGTCCCCACCACGTCCCCGGTGCCCTGAGCGTGCCCCCGCGGCGCCGTTGGCGCGCCAGGTTCCACATCTACAACGTGGACGAGGAGAACCCGGGGTTCGCGGAGCCGCGCACGGTGTTCTACACGGCGCAGATCCTGCTGGGGCTGGAGCACCTCCACCAGCACCGCATCGTCTACCGGGACCTCAAGCCGGAGAACGTCCTGCTCGACGACGCCGGTGACGCGGGGACGGAGGGGACGGAGGGGACGGAGGGGACGGCAGGGGAGTTGGGGACATTGGGGGTGCTGGGGGTGTTGAGGTGTTGGGGATGTTGGGGACATTGGGGGTGTTGGGGACATTGGGAATGTTGGGGGTGTTGGGGACGTTGGGAATGTTGGGGGTGTTGAGGATGTTGGGGATGTTGAGGATGTTGAGGGTGTTGAGGATGTTGGGGGTGTTGGGGACGTTGGGGACATTGGGGACGTTGGGACGATGATGTTGGGGATGTTATGAATGTTGGGGACATTGGGGACATTGGAAATGTTGGGGACATTGGGAGTGTTGGGGACATTGGGGGTGCTGGGGACATTGGGGGGACATTGGAGACGCTGGGGGCGTTGGGACATTGGGGATTTAGGGATGTTGGGGACATTGGGGACATTGGGGGTGCTGGGGACATTGAGGACATTGGAGACGTTGGGGGCGTTGGGACGTTGGGGATGCTGGGGACGTTGGGGACATTGGGGGTGTTGAGGGTATTGGGGACATTGGGAATGTTGGGGGTGTTGAGGATGTTAGGGATGTTGGGGACGTTGGGGGTGTTGGGGACATTGGGGACATTGGGGGCGTTGGAGACGTTGGGGATTTGGGGATGTTGGGGATGTTGGGGACATTGGGGACATTGGGGGTGTTGAGGGTATTGGGGACATTGGG